GGGGTGCCTTGAGTGTATATGCGATGGAAGTCAAACGTTGTCACTGTATGAAAACGCGGACTTTTTTCCTGGATGATTGGAGTTATGTGTCAGCTATTTTCTAGACTATGAGAGTTTCAGCTTTAGTGCAACCTGTGCTCCCCTAGTCTATCCAACTCCGATTCGAGTACATATAATAATGCTGTCTTTCAGTTTTCAAAAAGCTTTGTCTTGCATACTCGCCTCATAAAGAACTGGGACCACCCCCACCCCCTTTTCCCTAGTGCCCCTTATGACTGATTTGCCGTTGATCCCGATTTTTTTCACTAGATCCTGATTTTTTAACTCTAAAATCCTGATTTTTCTATTTCATAGAGTGGCAGGTCTGCCTACGGGCTTTCTTTGTTTCTCATTTATTCACATCGGGTCACGGGTCATCTTGAGTGTGTTGCGGGCGGCCTTTGTGATGAATGCACGCAGGAGCTAGAACTATTTCTTTGATCACGGACACGTGTTGTGCTTTCAAGTGATGGATGGGTTTTTGAAACCAACCAGTTCTAAGGCAAAACCTCGCGAACACACCTTCTGTGCCAAGTATTCAGAGGAATTCAACTTCATCACTGCATCGAAATTATCAAACAAACATGCTTTCTACAAGGTGTGCCGAAGTCCTCAATGGTCCGTCAAGTGGTGTTAACATAGGAGAACTTGTATTGACAGGATTAGAAACCTTAGGTGTTCCCTTTATGCACTGCATCTCTCTGAGTTCAGACAATGCTTCAGTGATGATAGGACAAAACCATTGAGTTATACTGTAGCAAGGCTTAAGGAATCCCAGCCAGACATCTTTGCCATTGGATGCCCCTGCCATCTTATCAATCAGGCTGCACAGCATGCATGTGTCTGTGGTGTGCTTATAATTTGAGTAGAAGTTGTATTTTGGTATCTTTTTGAAGTAAGAACTGGTCTCTTTTGCTGACTGCGCGATGAAAAAATGTTTTTTAATTTTGAAAAGATCGCAACTTTCGTCCCGCACGCAATATGCAGTTTTCTGCGGATTTTCAAAAATCTTTTGGAAAATAAAGCCCATTCAATGAGCTTAGAGAGTATTGCCTCCTTTGTTTGGTGTATAAAGGAAAGCGGAAGCGGCAACTGGTTTTTAATTGTGACCGCTACGCTGTAAATAGCTGCAAACAGGTGCAAGCGATGGAAGTGTCCAGTTACGAATAGCCGTGATCATGGCTGTAAAGGTGACAGATTAGAGCTTCATTCGCACGTTTGTAGCCTTGTAATGCACTTTACAAGTCAACATTTTATTTCACCAACATGTCTTTATTCATATGTTTCAGTTTTGAGCATGCCATATTGTTTTATAATGTTTAACAATAAACACAATGAGATCTATTTACAATGATTGTTATGAGTTGGGTTTTTTTTTTGGTCACAGCATTACATGTTTCATACACAGGGAAGCTTTTGGAATAAGAAAGGGTCTCTTCAGAATCATATAGTATAGTGTGGCTTTGCAGACCACTTCGTACTGTGTTCTTTTTAAACTGATATTTCTACTGTCTTTTCATACACTGAAATCACATCGGGAACTGTCATTGTACTGAGTACTGTCATGAAACATTAGGTCTTGACATCGCAGATTTCTATGTCACTGTCAGATATCCCTTTTTTCCCTGTTCTCTGATGCACAACACTAAGGGCAAAGTAGGACTTAGTCTATGGGTCTACTCTTTTACAAACAAAGATATGTACAAACAGCCACAGATGAAGGCGGGTCTATAAAAAGATGAGAACATGTTATAAGCTAATACTAAAACACTTTTTCCTTCATTATCTATTAAAACTTTAAAAAAAAAATTCTTTTCTGCACAGCCACAATATAGATCAACATGAAAACCTATACCCAACAAAACATTTCTTGTTCCTATCATTAAATCATAAGATGTCTCCACTACAGGATAACTTCCTGTCACCTCAATCTATTTTTTCTCCCCCCCCCC